TAAGTGGGGGAGATTAGGACTCCAATTTTAGATTTTTCTTTCAATTTAAGGAGAACAGGTCACTCAGTGGAAATTTCCAACAGACATTTGGAAATGTGAGCGTGAAGCTCAGTTTATGTCTGGAACCTCTATTTTATTTTGTGTTGAAAAATAGCATTTTCTGGCACTTTGGGTTGAGCAGGCTTGATTCAGGTTGTCCATTTCTACTTTCCTCTGCAGAACACTGACTCAGAATCACATCTTGTCCCAGTCTCTGTTCAGTTCCATAGAGAAAAGGGACCCTCGGCTTTCCAGCAAATACATTAGGAGAGGAAATATCAAACTTTGTTGCTGAGCTCATTCATTATTTTGAGTTGGCACTATCAGGGAAATATCAGACATGGACTAAGTCACAAAAAAGTGAAGTATCAAAGAAGCCAATAATGCAAGTAATTTTTGTTGAAGTTGGGTTTTTTTTGAAGCTGTTTCACATGAATGCTACTGTAATAAACAAAAGCGACAGATAAATATGGCTAGGCATGCATTGTTCCAGCTTGCTAAACATTAACGTTGACTGTGTAAGAGCTGACTTTAAGGTCCTGGAATGTAACCATTAAAACTACATACTCTAGTAAGAGCTTTATAAAAACTAGAGCTAGCTTTGACAATAACAATAAAACTAGCAGCTGCTCACACACTTCACTTTGTGAAGAGTAAAACTTGGAATATTAAATTTTAAAATACAAGAACCTGTGATATTAAAAAGTATTTTGGTTTGTCTGAGTAAATGAGAATAATAAATAATATCTACCTCCTTCCATTTCAATGGGGTACTATGAAAATATAGATAATGCTATTTGTGAAAATATTTGGCATTCTTTAGAAAAAAAGAAGCCTATAAATCTTGGGCACAATTAGTAAAAACGCCAATTTCTAAGAAACATTATTTAGGAGACCTTAATTGATCCTTCCTTCCCTGTGGAGTAACCTTCCCACTCAGGTGCAATTAACCCCTCCCTCTGGGGTTTTCTCATAGGATTTCACTTATGCCCCTTTTAAGTATATGAAACGTTCTTCCTTGGACTATAGAGATTGGGGTCCTGATCTTCTCTACCAGAAAAAATGAAATCCCATAAATTCCATGGAAACTTAAAACATGGTTTTTCTATATATTTTCCAATATTCCTAACAGTGTATAACAAGCGCTAAACAATGTTTTTGAATTGAATTTACAAGTAAATACAATAAAAAAGTAAAGCAAGCTGATTGCTTTTTTAGCCCTGTGTGTAAGACTGAAGTTATTATTCAAAGAAAAATTTCTGCTTATAGATAAAATGTTGTCATCCAAATAGAATATAAGCTTGTTAAGAGCAGGGATATTATCTTTTTTCCCCAAAATGCAAAAAGGGGCATCCAAACATGTTTGTTGAGAAAATCAATGAATACATTTTTGAGAACGACCACACTTAAACTTTCATCAATATCCTTAAATCAAACTCAAATATTTAACAATTTATCTTTATACAACATAAACATTTAAACATGATATAAAGCAGAATTGAGGATCTAAGCCAAGTGAGAATTATTAGTAGAAAAAGGATTCTCAATTAGCTAATATAAGAAAGGAAGGAATGTTTGGTAACAACCGGCAGCTAAGAGTGATTTGAAGAGAGGCTTACTAGTTAGTTAATCAACTTTTGGTATTCATTCATTTAAAAAAAAAAAATCAAGTGATTGATTTGTATAGTCTGGAACAGTGTTTCTTAACCTTTTTTCTTTCAAAATATTGCCCCCCCCCCCGCCAAAGCCTTTTTAGACTTTTTTCCTGTTTGTCCCTTCCTGTGAAATTTTAATACTACAGATATACTATATTTCTGTATACTGTTCATTAGTCATTGAAAAAGAGAATTTTCACTCCCTAAGAACCAATTTTCACCACTTTTGAATTATAACACCCTTGTTGAGAATGCATGCTCTTCTAGACACTCGAACATTGCTTCTCAAACTAGATTCCAAAAATGTGTCCTGGGTAGTCTGAAAAATTTTTTTCTTTAAGAAAGATTCATTACTAAGTTTGAGCAAACTGGTCAAAACCAACGTAACAACTAATGTTGTTAGTGCCTGTTGTATTACACTGTCTTAACCTGAGTTCTTTATGTCAATCAAGTATTTCCAAGTGTTTATCCCACAGCCGTCAAACTCCAGAAAATGCAGTCTATTGCTCATTTATCAATGAGCACCTGTTCCATCATCTTATATGATAGTAATAATAGTAACATCATATAAGAGGTAATCTAGTCCAAATCCATTCCTTCACAGTTAAAAAAAAAGAAACTGACATGGAAAGAATATGCATATGTCTAATTTGTGCAAGGGACTCCAGCTGCAAGGGTTGAGAAGTTTTTTTGCTTGTTTTATTTTGTTCCTACGACATCACATTGCTTTTCTTTAAAAAAAAATTAAAAGTTTAAGTCCATTTCAATACAACCACAATGAAGTGGACCCGGTCTGTGTTAAGCTGCTTTTCAAATTGTGACTGCAGGGAAAATCTTTCTATGTAATTTATTAAAAATTAAAGGGGGATCACTTATTGAATAAAGATCGTTCAATTGTTTGTACCAATGGACAGTTTCCTTCATAACTAATTTCAAAAGGAAGCAAAGATCGTGGAATGTAAGCAATGAAATATTGGGAATATAAAGTTACTTAAGTTCTTGAATGTGTTTTAAATGGAAAACACTATTTTTATTGTCACTCAAAAACTGGGATGCTGTCTAATGTTTGGTAAAGAAAAAAAGAAAAGAACATAACTAAAAATTATTTCCCCAATTTTATTATTTTTAAATTTTCTTGTCAGAATTACAATGTTGTAACCTAATTTAAGAAAAGAGAATATCTTTAATAATATGAAATCAGTTAGACCTGTTTCAACTGATACTATGAATATGACTATGACATCGTAAAACAAAATATTTCCTGAAAGCTGCTACTAAAGTCGATAGAGTTTATAATTATCCATTTGTTACAGTTTAAAAATAAAGATAAAAAAACTTTAAGAACCAAAATTTGCCTTTATTTCAGGTCACTTCAGTGGAACTTAATAAGAAAACTTCCTCCTAATGGCTTTAAGAAGTACCATGATCTTCAGAAACTGTAAGAAAAAATTTAATTCCTGGTATTAAAATTAACTAACACTTTTTTTGCACAGCTGTTTCTGCCCACTTCATTGGAAACCAAACACTATAGTACTGCTTAAATCGAATCCCTCTCTGGGGAATTATTTAGCTGTTAGCTGGAGACAACCAAGTAACTTTAAAAAAAAAAAAATAGTTCTAGAAGCCGTTCTAGAAAAATCTTAGATGCCCAAAGAAATTAGAAAATGTATGCATGCAGGGACTCCTGCCATACTCTGCCTAAATGAGCATCCTCCTGAGGTTTTACTCTCTGCACTATTCTACAGTGGATCTCTCTTTAACACCCACTTTAGAGAAAGATGCGAAGGGCTTTTACAAGATCTGCAGTCAAGATTAGATAATGAAGACGTTTCTTCCATGTGTTTACAAACTCAGCCTCCACCTAAGATAGCAAGTTCTTGTGGCTTAAAACCCCCAGCATATTGTTTTGGAGACTTAATTTCATTTTTGCATCTGCCTTGCAGGTTGAGTGTTATTTTAGCCTTAAGTAGTATCTGACATGCTAGCTTCTCTTCAGTTTAGGGCGATGTATGTACTCTCAAAATCCATAATGGCCCTAGTCACGAAATCATATTATCATATGCTTGAACTGTTGGGTTTAAGTATTTTATGCCTGAATTACACTATCTAGAAACCATCTCAGAATTCCTAGTTTCATTTTCATACCAATATTGGTTTCA